AGCAACTTCAAGGAGAAAGGGTTTATTTCAGTTCACAGTTCCAAAGTGCAGATCACCATGGCAGAGAAGTCATGGCAGCAGGATCTTGAAGTGGATGGTCATATTGCGTCCACACTCAAAAAACAGAGGATTGACTGCTTGAGCACAGCTCTGTTCCTCCTTTTTATACAGCTCAGAATGGTGCCACTAAAATTCAGTGGATCTTTCCACTTCAGTTAACTGAATCAAGATAATCCCCACAGATACAGCTATCTCCCACGACTCCAGCTGTCAAGTTGGTGGTTCAGATTAGCAATTACAGTGTGTGTACATAAATGACAGGCTTTTTCCTCTTTTACTGAGTTGGTAGCTAAGAGTAAATGGAGGGTTTAGTGACTGCACAGAAGTCTGCTTAACAAATTTCAAGCTTTGCCAGCCCAGCCTGTACTCTGTGAGGACTCTTAAATCGGAAATGTAACCTCTTTCCCTCTTTTCTTCAGTATGCACAGATCGTAAGAGAAAGGCTAAGAGAATCTTTTCATGACGTGCAGTATGTAGAACCTCCGTTTGATGACTCGATTGCTGACATAGGTAAAGAATGGAAGAGCGCCCTGGCAAAACTAAAGTTCACTAATTCATATAGAATGGAGCCACTGAAGAAATTCCAGGCACATCCAGTAGAAACGAAAATCCACCAGATATTAAAGGTGAGTAGGGAGTGTATCTCAGTGATAGACACCTGTCTAGCATGGGTAAGGACCTGGATTCCATCCCTGGCCAAAATAAAGCATGTGATAATATGTGTGTGCATATATATATATGCAGGGTGTGTGTGTGTGTGTGTGAATTCATCATAGGGACCACCAATGCAAACTCAGAGGCCAACTGATCTACAATCTTCTGAGTGTATGCTGAGGTCCCAGGAAATCTGGTAGCACAATTCTAAATCCACAACACTGAGAACCAGGGACTGGGACTGAGTGGATAGTGTCAGTCCCAGTGCAAGTCTACAGGCACAAGAACCTGTAGCACCCCAAAAGCAAAAGATGACGGTCACAACTTAAACAGAACATCCTCCCCATTCTTCACCATTGAATTTTATTCAGTCCTTCAACAAATTGCATTATGTCCACTCACCTTGATGGGCTAGCTTTCTCTCTTTTTGTGACAAACACCATAACCAAAACAACTCAGGAAGGAAAGGGTTTATTTCATCGTACATCTTCCAGGTTATGTTCATCACCAAGAGAAGCCAGGGCAGAAGCTCAAGGCAGGAACTGCAGAGACTGTAGAGGAATGCTGCTTACTGGCTGGTTTTACCCTGGCTTGCTCAGCTACCTTATACAGTCCAGGCCCACCTGCCAAGGGGTGGCACTGTCCTACGTCAAGTAGCCAATAAGAAATACTTCACAGATGTGCCCATAGGCCAGCCTCGTCTGGGAATTTTTAAGTTTTGGTTCCTTCTTTTTAGGTGATTCTTCTCTTTGTGTCCAGTTGATAAAAACTAGTCAGCACAGTGAGAGTAATCTTTGCTGAGCTTTTTGCTGATTTATTCTGGAAACAGTGTCAGACACAACCAGACACAGTGGCAGCTTAGCCATTTCAAGTTGTCACATAATACTGATTATTACATTGCCAGGTGGGCTCCTATACAAATTTCCTTAAGACAAATGGAAAGCTGGGCATGATGGTGAGTCCTGGTAATCCCAGAACTCAGGAGGCTAGAGGAGGAGGAACTGAAGTTTCAAACCAGCCTAGGGTACATAGCAAGACCCTGACTCAAAGAGGGTTGGTTGGAGAGGTGGCTCAGAGGTTAGAGGTGCTTGCTGTTCTTGCAGAGAACCAGAGTCCATTTCACAGAACCACTGCAGGTGGATCGCAAACCCCTGTAACTCTAGTACCAGGCAATCTAACACCCTCTTCTGGCCTCCATAGGCACCTATACCCACATATGCATACACACCCATGCCCACCCCCACACCCTCCCACACATATAGACACATGCAGATATGTGGACATACACACAAATAAAATAAATTGCTTTTAAAGCAAAAGAAACCAAAAATCAAGAAGAGACAACCTTAAATCAAAATCCTACTTACTCTAGTTTCATTTCTGTTGCTGTGACAAATACCCTGACAAAAGGTAAGAGGGAAGAGTCTAGAATCTATTAGGCTTAGAGTTCCAGGGTACAGTCCATTACTGAGAGGAAGCTAAGGCAGGAACAGTCAAAAACGGAGAAAGAGTCAAGGCATTAATCCTTGCTTGCCTGCTCTCAACTAGCTTTGTCCTCTCTCACACTGTCTAGAACCCCTCTGCATAGAAAATAGTGCCACCCACATCAGTTAACAATCTGGCTTTCCCTACTCAACGTAATTCCCCACAAACATGTCCATAGGCCAACCTGATCTAGATAACTCATCTAGATCTAACTGATAAGACTCTCCTCCCAGGCTATTTTGGGGTGTGTCAAGTAGATAGTCAAACTAACCAGCATGCCACCTATACAGCAAGCCTGCATGCAATTGACAATTAATTTTCGTTAAGTGGATTAAAATTCCTTCTCCACAAGAGAACTAAAGACCTTGAGCTATGTTTTCTCATCTCTTGATTATCCTGTAACTTAAATGCAATAGTATAAAATTAGCAGTACCTCTGTCTGGAGAGATGACTCAGTGTTAAGAGCATTTACTGCTCTTGCAGAAGACCCAAGTTCACCTCCCATCACATACATGGGTCAGGCTCACAACTGCCTATAACTCCAGCTCCAGTAAGGCATGCTTTTTGTTATAGGAGGGGCTAGATGCAATAGATTATCCTTAGAATGGATATTTAGACATGCCTCATATCACTAGACCCCTAGAAATTTCACTACAGTAGGACATATTTAAATTTTAGTTGGATTTATTTCCCATCAGCTGACAGATGCTACCAATAGTTCTAGAATAGTTGCTCCTTTGGCTCAGTAAGTCCAATCAGTGCAATATTGTCAGTGCGATGGAACAGTGTGATGTCTCCTGGGAAAGAAAGAGCCAAGATCCCTGTAAACTAACTTCTGACATGGAGCTGGATAGTTGATAGCATGAGGTAGGACAGGGAAAGTGCAGCGCTAGCTTTGCCAGCTGAAAGCAGTTTTCGGTGAACCTTATGGATCTGTATGGAGAAAAGGGCGTTTTTCAGATTAGTAGCTATATACCACGTACCAAAGGATGTTCTACAGCAATGAAACCAGCACTGTGTCTGGTTAAGCTTCGTTGTTTCCTAGGTCTGGCTCTTCTGAAAAGGCCAAATGTGTTGAAAGGGGCCATGGAGATAATCCTGCTTGCAGCTTTGAAAGCCTTTATGGTGTCAATAAGTTTTACAATCACTTCAGGATATTATACCACTTCTCTTGGGGATTTCCTTCTGGGGTGGTCTGAGTGAAAATATCTCCCATAGGCTCCAAGTATGTGGACATTTTGTCCCCAGATGGTGCTGTTTTGGGAGATCTTAGAGGGTGTAGCCATGCTGGAGGAAGCAGGTCACTGGGGGTGGGCTTAGAGAGTTCTTAAGCCTTGCCAGATCTCCAATTGCTCTCTTGTTTCCTGTGCCTGCTGGAAGATGTAGAGCTTTTCTTCCGCTCCTCCTCTAGCCACCTCTGCCGCCGTGCCTCCCTGTCATGATGGACTATAATTCCCCTGGAACCGTAAGCTCAAATAAACTCTTCCTTTTATAAGTTCTTTGGCCAGTGTTTCTATCACAGCAACAGAAAAGTGACTAATACACCTTTCATAAAAGCCCTTACATTACAGGTCAAGGAATCGGTCTGTGCCAGTTTCATAACTGACTTAGGATGCGTTTGGGGAATCTGCTGATCCCTGTGTGAAATGGACTTGAGTTCATACTCCATTGATCAACTGAGCTCCACAAGCCATCAGCTTACAGGGTCCCATTCTTTCTTCATCAGTGCCCTCACTTTTAGGACCTCCATGTGGCTATGAGCTCTGCTTTTATCATAAATCAGCTGTGTGCTGAGGGTCTACATTGGGCTTCTAGCATTTCGGCCACACAGCTACAAAAATTATGGCTCTTATTTAGGTCATAACATCACTATTCTTTTAAGTTACCACCTAGACAAATCAAGAGAAAAACAGTTCCAGAACTTCAGCATGTATACAGAAGCCTTCAAAGAAAGGTGAAGGCTAGAAGCCGAGTCAAGCGCTTGTGTACTAGTTTGGATGAAAATCAGCAAAATTTGAAAGTGTGATTAAAGGTGTTTGGCTGGGCAAACAGTTCTGGGAGAAAGTGATGTGAGTTGAAGAGGGGCGTGTCCTGCTTTCTGCTGGCACTGGAGGGAGCACCCTTTTGAGGGTTTCATCTCCCGCTTTCAGGAAGAAAAGTGGGGCACTAGTGAAGCCATTAAAGGCTCAGGCTTGCAACCGAAAAGACAGGAAGAAAAGGAAGGTGCCCTGCTGCACCTGCTATTTTCTCAAGTACCTTTTGATCAAAATAATACTAGAAAACATACTTTAAAATGGCATTTTCTGAGCCTCTCTACTCCTTTCCATCCCTTCACTGCTGTATCACAAAATAAATAATTATGCATTACCTGCTTCTTTGATCAACACTAGTATTAATAGTATTTGTGGTGTGAGAGTGTGCACTTTCAGTGTCTCTCATTTGACCCTATCACATAGACTAACATTTTATCAAATAAATGGGCTGGAGATGTACCTCTGGTAAAGTGCTTACCCTGGTTTGATTCCCATCCCTGCAAAAAAGTTATTCAGTATAACAGTGTTTCAAGTTGTATTCAGCATATGATAATTTATAGAATTACACTTGGTACAATCAGGTCTAGTGAAGCTTACTGGATGTGGTGGATAATGAGAAATACAGGAGCCATGGATTTTTCCCTTGGATCTCAGAAACACTGGATAATTTCACACATAGAGATGGTGTACGTGGGTGTTTCCCTCTATAGCTGGACTCACAGATGTTTCTGAGCTTTTCTCACTGTGACCCAATGTCATCTATGAAACTCACGCTTTAGTACTGAGCACAGTCCAGTGGCCAAAGAAGAAAGAAATCACAAAACTCACATTTGAAATAAGTTTATTATTTTGTGTTGGGCCGCGTTTACAGCTATCTTCAGCTGTGTGTGACCCACAGGCTCTGGGTTGGACAAAGCTGGATGAACCTAGGTACATGAGGCCTGGGATCTGTTAGGCAACTAGAAAATCCTGAATGTGGAATGAATGGGAACAAGGAGAGGACATACAGGAAGGCAACCTTGCAGGCTTGGAGAATGTGCAACACAGACTTTAACCTCATTTTACATTAAAAGCCACCTATCAAGGCTTTACATATTGCTCTCTGTGCAACTGTATTAGTTACTTTTCTGTTGCTGTGATAAAATACCATGACCAAAAACAAGAAGAAAGTATTTATTTTGGATTACGGTTCCAAAGGAATGGAGTCCAACATGGTGGAGGAGGCATGGCATAGTAGCAGAGCAGGAAGCTGGCTGATCAAATCTTCATCTACATACAGGAAGCAGAGAGAGAGAGTGAGAACAAGTGTGGTGAGGCTATTAAACCCTCAAAGCTGGTCCCCAGTGATGGAGATTCTCCAGCAAGACTGCACCTCATAAAGGTTCCCTAATCTCGCCAAACAGCACCACCAGCTGGGGATCTAATGTTCAAATACATGAGCCTATGAGTGACATTTTTCATTCAGACCACCACAACCACCTCATCCCTGGAAAAAAGAGTTAAGAGTCCACCTAAATTCAAGTAGCCAACTAAGTGGGCAGAGCCACACTGCCACAGTTCTGAGAGCAGTGTTGAATGTGAACACCGAGACGGACACGCATTGGGGCCTGTAAGATGTGGGTTAAGATAAAATGAATTTTTGAAAATCTGGAAGTAGCTAGAATAATTCTTTGAGTTACTTTCTAGTCAGTCTTGAGAATTCTTAAACTTTTATTCTTTGGGGGTTTAACTGCCAACTGTGTGCTTAAAGTCAGATAATTAGCAAGAATACAGTGGTAGCCATACTCAATGCTATTGTCTTAAAACATTAGGGGGAAAATTGTCAAACAGAATTTACTGGTTATAGATAACACAGAGCTTTCATTCTTTAGAACTCTGGTTTGCAGAAGCCACCCCAGGGCCCTGAGGTCAAGTTATGGCCAGCATATGGAGTGGGGAGATACCTAGATAGACAAGAGTTTATCCTCAGACAGGACTGACCTTGAACTTGAATCAGATCCAGAAGAAAGCAGGTACTACTGAGTATTGGGAAGACAGAGCCAAGGCGACATGCAGGCCTTAGACTAGTTGGCCTATATGGAAACACCCTGGCAGGGATCCAATAGGAGAGGGAGGAGGGAAGTGGAAAGGGGGGGTGGGAAGAACTAGAGGAAGGAGGAGGGTGGAGGCAGAGCATCTACTTGGTTTATGTTACTATGAAGTTGACTTAAAGGAGTGAAATTGACTTAAAGGAGCCATGGGTGTGCTCCCAGCAAGCTTTTGTGATCAAAGGCTTTGTGATCAGCTCACTCATTGTTCAGATCTGCTCACAGCTTATAAGGATCCTGAGGGCTGGAAAGATGGCTCAGCAGTTAAGAACACCGTTCTTGCAGAAGACCCGGGTTCAAATCCCAGCACCCACATAGCAGCTAACAACTGTTTGTAACTCCCGTTCCAAGGAATCTGACAGTCTCTTCTGTCCTGTCGTGGGTATTGCATGACATGGGTGCACTTACCTACATGCAGGTAATACACATGTACACATAAAATAAAAATAATGAAATATTTTAAAAAAAGGATCCTGTTTTATGGTCTGCGAGCCATATCTATTTATTCTAAGATGGGTGTTAGTTTATTAATAAAAATGACTAGAAGTCATGGATTCCATAGGGAGTAAGAAGTAAATTTCAGGGAGACTGAAAAAGACAGCAAACCCTAACTCCAAGCAATACCTGCTCTAGAAATACTCAATCCAAGCCAGGCATGGTGGCATATGCCTTTAATTCCAGCACTCAGGGGCAGAGGCAGGTGGATCTCTGAGTTCAAGGCCAGCCTGGTCTACATAGTGAGTTCCAGGACAACTGGGGCTACAGGGAGACCCTGTCTCAAAAAAACCAAAAAAAAAAAGAAAAGAAAAGAAATACTCAATCCAAATCTTAACACACATATAAACACAGAAGGTTCCCTCCCTTTGCCTGTGTATTCCAGAACTGTTATTTTGAAATTCCCTGTCTCCTTGGTCCAGGTTATCTACAGCCAGCTGACAGGTAGCCTCATAATCTGAAACTTAGAGCTCAAGTGTTGTTCCTGAAAAGCAATCGAATGTAACTAAAAACAGATTTTTTCAAAATTGTTATTGGAACAAATTGGTAAGTATAAATATATTGTCATTTTCAGGAATATGCATATTAAAACAGTTGTATTATTTAGATACATGTTTTCTATTTGTATTGAAAATATTTGATTTGGAAATTGAAACTTTTTCCTTGCTTTTTAAAGGACAGTCTTAAAGATGTCAAATATGATGACAGAGTCTTTTCTCATTTGTCACTTGAATTAGCAGATCAAGTATTGGCAACAGTCAAAGAATTTGGGTACCACCGCTATAAATTTATTATAAAAGTATTATTTATTCAAAAGACCGGTCAAGCAATACATGTAAGTGCCCCAGTGCCCAGCATCTATTCATTAGATCATCATTTTGAGATGTCTTTTCACTCAGGGATAGAGAGATCATAAGGGCTATCTTGAATGTGAGGATCATTTTAGATGAGTTTTATTTCATTGTAAATTATTTGAATGATACTAGCCTAGAAATAGCATTTTGCTATCAGTAACTTAATAAATTACATTTTTAGCCTGTCTCTTGATCATTCCAATTTTGATAATTGTTATTAGAAGACTATGTTAGGTAATGAGGAAATTCAAACAAGGATAAGAAATGAACCATGAGTGTCAAGGCCATGGAGCTGCCCCAGTTAGGATGCAAGAGAAGTGAGTGGCCTGGGTAGCAACAGCAGCTGGGTTTGGAGGGAAATTGCTGAGCGGAGTCCAGGAGCAGCACTCACTGTGGCCACAGTGTGGGCATTTCATCAGGATAAGAACTAGAAGTATATGAGTGTTAAATGAGGTTATCTGTATTAAATCCTCAGGAGGATATCAGTATAGGGCCTTCAAGCAATAAACGTTATTAAAAAATAAAATTAATGCCATTATAAAGTAAATATAGTTATATTTAATAAAGAATAATATAGGTTATATAGAAAATATCAGATAAATAAAAAATGATATCACTAGTCTGCAACTGTGTGGGGAGTTAATGGTGAATACACAGGAGCTGGAGAGAAAAGAGATGGAGCAGTCTGTGGTAGTCTGAGGCGTCATGGAGCAGGGCACCTCAGACTGAAAAGTTAGAAGGGCTTGGACAAGCAGATAGGTGCTGGCCACAAGCATACTAGGCAGGTGTGCCAACCACTAAGCCACATTGCCCATCCCAACAAATTAATTATTAAATACAGCTTTCAGAGATACTGACACACTACTTAGAAAAATAGAACTACTGTGGATTTTAAATTACTTAACATGTTCAACCTAAAGTTAGTCTTTTAAAATTTTCTCTCAGATTGCCAGCAGATGGATTTGGGATGTGGCATGGGACAGCTGGATTCAAGCTAAACATGAAACGGAGTCCTATGTGGCCTTGGTTTTGGTATTTGCTCTCTATTGTGAATAGCTCATAACAACTAAAATAATGTTTTCTCACTTTTAATAATAAATGACATTTACAGGCTTATGAGCCTCATATATTCTTTTAACAACAAATAAGCAAAAGCCAGTTATATTTATTTATTAGTACTTATTGCCTCAAAGTAGTATAAGAGGTAGGTATGAATTCCTATAGATTTTATTACAAGGAAGTAGTTATCGTTCTTTTTATATTTAAGAAAATTAAGATAGCTGCATGTGGTGACACACACCTTTAATCCCAGCATTCAGAAGGCAGAGGCAGGTAGATTCCAGTGAGTTGCAGGCCAGCCTGTTCTACATAGTAACTTCCAGGCCACCCAGCTCTACACAGTAGACCTGTGTCAAAAAGAAAGTAGAGATTGGTGTAGTGGCTGTGAGCTCAGCAGTCCGCCAGAAAGTGCTGGGTTCTGGCCTCCTTCTGGCATAGGGGCTGAGAACACAGGGAACTGCCTGAGAGCACTGGATCCTGCCTCCATGTGGTGGTGAGCTTCCCTTAATTGTGCTGTACCAATCCCCCTACCTGGGATTTTGTGAGTCCCCTCCCAAGGCCCCAGGGCAGACCTAGCTTTAGTAAGCTAAGGTTAAGATCTTAGCAGACAGCCTGAGAGGGCAGATTCTGACCTCCATCTGTGTGGTGGCTGTGATCTCAGCAGACTGCCAGAAAGTGCCAGTTCTGGTCTGCCTCTGGCATAGGGGCTGAAAACACAACAAACCAACTGAGAATCCCAAAATCGCCCCCCCCTTAGGGAATTTCCCAAATTTTCTCTGAGCTCCTGGTAATAGGGGTCCAAACCTTAGAAGGAAGCCTGAGTATACCTGACTGGAACCTGACTTGAGCTTCTGTGGTTGCTCCTGAATAGCTGATCTGAAGTCATCGGTTTCCTCCAAAATAAAGCCTAAGAGACCTGAAACTTGTACCAAACAGCTTTACATAAGGATAGCTTTACTTAAGCAATAAGGAAAGGACCTAGGAACATCGATAACACAAACAGATGCATGCTTCAACTTAATTTTTTTTTTTTGGCCTATACAGGGTCTCCTGTAGCCCCACCTGTCCTGGAACTCATTATGTAGACCAGGCTGGCCTTGAACTCATAGAGATCCGCCTGCCTCTGCCTCCCGAGTGCTGGGATTAAAGGCGTGCACCACCACGCCCAGGTCAACTTAATTCTTATATCAGAATCATAAACAGCAAAAGAAATTCACATGCCAAAGTCACAATGAAAGAATAATAAAATGGAAAGCCAAAACACTACGTCCCCACCAAACTCCACCAGTCCTGTAGAAGAGTTCTACAAGGAGAACCACCTAGAGATAACCCAGGACACAATTTAAAAGAGCAATCATACACATGATCAAGAAATTCAATGAATTTAAAGAACACATGAACAAACAAATTGAAGAACTAAAAGAAGATAGAGATAAACTTCTGAATGAATTCACAAAAGAGAAACATTGAAGAAAACTCAGGCAGAAATGAAGAAGGAAGTGCAAAACTCAATAAGCCAACTTGAAACAACAAGGAAAAGCCTCACCTCCAGAATGAATGAAATGGAAAACAGAATATCAACACTGGAGGATAAAGTTGAAGAAGTGGACCACCAAAACAAAGAGTATGGAAAATTAATAACACATGGAATGGAATATGCAAGAGACGT